TTGAAAGTGAGAAAATATTACAATTTTTGAACAAAAAATTCTCGACGTGCGTGACACGTCTTTCCAGCGCAAGAGGTTAACTTGCGCTGGCAACTGATTGCGGACCATAACGAGTGACCAAACCCTATAACAATAATTCGTCGTTCTCTTCCTGAATTTCGTCGGTACGACATCACTGGATCGAAATTATTGAGGAGTAACGAATTTTTCATTTGTTTTGCCTATTCTGTTTCACTGAAATATACTTGAAAGTGAGAAAATATTACAATTTTTGAACAAAAAATTCTCGACGTGCGTGACACGTCTTTCCAGCGCAAGAGGTTAACTTGCGCTGGCAACTGATTGCGGACCATAACGAGTGACCAAACCCTATAACAATAATTCGTCGTTCTCTTCCTGAATTTCGTCGGTACGACATCACTGGATCGAAATTATTGAGGAGTAACGAATTTTTCATTTGTTTTGCCTATTCTGTTTCACTGAAATATACTTGAAACTAAGAAAATATTACAATTTTGGGACAAAAAATTCTCGACATGCGTGACACGTCATTCTAGCGCAAGAGGTTAAACGAGGATTAATCGAATTTAGCGTATATTTATGAATGCAACGAATATTACGGAATATGGCTTTCACCAGTTACAGCTTCGACGTTTGTCTGTCGCATACGATGCGAAATACCAATCGCATGCATCTCCCTATATCGGTGCATCTGTCTGCATGATCGCATGAATTTCTTTGATGTCGAAGGTTATCGCTGTCTTGTGTCAATTTTGAAATGAAAATACAAATATGTATTTTTATTTCCTGATATCGCATGTAAATACCCGTATTTTCGAAGGAATATTTACCAGCGTGACGAATCGACTTACTTTCATTAGATAAATATTCGAATCATGTAATGTAATGTTAATCTTTTTGGTCAGTTTTTGCCAAAAGTTTAATACTGAATAAGGAGCATATAACAAATGAAGAATGCATTCATCTTTTGATGTAATATCTAATGATTGACAGTATGCGATATAATATATTTTTGATGTAGATAACACTTAATAATTAATAATTAATAATATAATAATATAATTCTTAATATTTTAATATAATGTCTTTTATTTAGTATATCGTAACATGTTGTCCTTTTTATATATTATAATTTATATATTATATTTCATATATTATCCTTTTTATATATTTTAAACTTTCAACAAACTTTTATATTTTAAACTTTTAATAAACTTTTAATAAACTTCTATATTTTAAACTTTCAACAAACTTTTATATTTTAAACTTTTAATAAACTTTTATATTTTAAACTTTTAACAAACTTTTATATTTTAAACTATTAATAAACTTTTATATTTTAAACTGTTAATAAACTTCTATATTTTTCATAAACTTCTATATTTTAAACTTTTAATAAACTTTTCATAAACTTCTATATTTTAAACTTTTAACAAACTTTTATATTTTAAACTTTAATAAGTAAATTATCATTGATTGTAAAATTGTTTAGTACAGACTAAACACTCAAATTAACCGTGCTACATTTTTTGAGCCCATTAAGACCGAGTAACATTTTCTTTCAGCTATGGTACATATCCTTCGAACGAAATACATACCGTAAAAGAAGTTTTATCATGCATAATTTCTCGTACCGATTTAAAAAAAAATCTTTTTTATACATTATTAAACGTGTTCTTGTAACGGTACATTGATATTAAAAAAATGTAATAACGCGTTCTGGAACTTATAGTGACACATCGATGTCAAAAACAAGTTGAATTTATTTCTCCGGTTGGAAAGTCGACTCGGAACCTGTTAAAGTTTCTTTTGAAATTTTTTTTCCTTTTTGTTTACTAAGGCGAGAGCAACGTTGAAGTGTAAAAAATTCAAGGATCGCAACAGGACTAAAACAGGTTATTGCACTTGTTAAATAAAAGCGAACGGTCGTCAAATGTATCGGCAAGATGATATAAATTAAAAATAATTGTTAATAGCAAATGTTGGATGGAATTTCGATTTTGTTGTTTCGTTTGTTTTGAAAGGAAATGTTCGAAATGCGAAGTTGTACAAAAATGCACGTAAAAAAAAAAAATACGTAAAATATTCAAAGTATAGTGCTTTGTATGACATTGAACACGTGAAACAATCGTGATTCCTTATTTAATTATACTTTTAAAAATATGAATTTGCACAAAAGTCCAAAGCCTAAAAATTAATATATTGTATTGCAATAATGTCTAATATTTTAATAATTTAATTTCTAATAATATCTAACGTTTCACAATATTTGTAAAAATTGTCTTAACTGTTATGATTATTTCAGTTTTTTTTAAATCAAAGTATTTCTATGAAAATATTCTATTTCATATGTACAACAATTTATTTAAAAAAAAAATATATATATACAAGTTGTATTTTCTCAACACTGTAAAATAATTATAATTTTCTTTTTTGTTATTTAAAAAAAAAAGTTTTTTTTAAATTACTATCATAAAAAATAAAATTAGAACATATATATCTTTAAGTATGCTCGTTTAAAAGATAAATATTACGTGCTTATTAAGTATCATTGAGGTGGTTCTTTATTACTTCCTTTTTTTCACTGGAATTTATATATCGCGATGAGAATCACATTCTGTAATACTGACAACTCATTGCTAATATTGGCAGTTTATTAATTTTCTCATCAAACGTATGTTTATTTTGTAATAACTAAACGAAACAGATTTTTACAAATTTAACTGGCGACATAAAATTTGAGTAAAGTTGTTTAAATATTAAATATTTAATATTACGTATGCTGTATTTTAAATATATATGCATAAATAAATATCTACGTAAACGTCCATAATACATCATCAACCTGTAGATCTTTATGTATTTTTAAATTTTTATGAGCATAATTAAAGAAATGGAACCTAAATAAAGATAGATAATATAATTATAATATATATTAATAAATATAATATATTATATATATATAATATTATATTATAACATAATTAATATAATATTACAATATTATAATATTACAATATAGTATTATTAAAGATATATATACCTAAAAGAATATAGTAAATATAATGTGATATTTATAATATAATAAATATATTGTTATAATTATCATAATTACAATAATATAATATAATATAGTAGATGTTATATTTGTTATATTTACTATATTAAATATAGTAAATATAATAAATACTCTACTTTATGTGCATTTTTACATTTTTGAGATTCTCTCAAAATGCATGAAAATCCGTAGTCTACTAATTACTCATTTGTGCAACAGTCTTCCTCGTACGAAACGTACACACAGTACTCGTGTATTTGTACTGTGCAGATTATATCACACATAAGTCTACTCTCTCCAAAATTTAAAATTATCCTACAGTTCGAGCGAGTAATAAGTTATCGGTTATCGTATATCCTACGACGTTGCGTTAACACACGTAACGCCTCGATCCATTGCCTCATAACTACTTCGTTAACTCTCAGAACAATTATTCATCGCGTCGTAAACGAGGAAATGTTGGAAATGGATTGTAATATTTGACGGTGGTCAATTGTGGAAACAAATGGGATAAATCTGTATTGCGAATGCTACTCGTGTATTAGTCGCATTTTATATAGCAATGGAAGAAAAACGGCGTATTGCCGCAGGAAGAGAAATATCGCTTATTATTAAATTATTTTTTTTCTCAAAAATCAAAAAGTATCTCAAGCTCAAACGAAATGTAAAGTATCACAAATCCTTTTACTTGCTAAGCAGAGTGTAAAATTGAAATATAAACAATTCGAGCTTTGGGTTTATTATTGATTATTAACCACATTAAAAGAGAAGAATTATGTTGTTCATGTAAGATTTGTGAAAATATTGAAATCTAATTGTCAGTCATCGCGAATGATTAGAACATTTTCTTACATAAATTTAGATTTATAGATTTATAGAGGAAAATTAAAGATACTCTCCATTTCAACTAAACAGTTTTCCAATGCATGTAATAATTTAATTACAAAAGACTATAAATGACGAACATTGCAAAAATTTTTGAATTTTCAAATAGATAATTCTATTAATTTTGGTTAAGTGTAGATATTGAATCATGTAGAAATTGGATTAAAATTATATTTGAAAAAACGACGTTTCCATATGCATATGAAATATTTTTATATTTTCTGCTTAAAGTTAGTGTAAATACAATACATGCATATTCTCATTCAAAAGTGTTACTTCTCTTAGATAATAAAATCATTAAATTGCATTTGTACTTTATAATAGAACTATTGATAGACGTATTATTTAAAGTATAAATATTTAGTATTGAAGTAAAGCATAAAGTATAAAAATATTAACGCGTAAATATATATTTTATAATACATTAAATATACATTTATATAAATGTACAACTGTATACAGAGATTTTATTGTAGTATAAAGTATTATTTAAAGTATAAATATTTTATATTAAAGTGAAGTAAAATATAAAGTATTAATATATTAATTTATAAACTTTTATATATATATGTAATTTATATACAAAAGTGTAATAAAGTATTACTATATTTTAAAGTATTATTTTAGTTTTTCAGATTTGAAACAAATAAAATTCTGAGATCTCTAAGACTTTATTAATGTATAAATTTATATACAAAAGTGTAATAAAGTGTTGCTATATTTTAAAAGTATTACTATAAATATTATTACTAAAGTATTACTATATTTTAAAGTGTTATTTTAATTCTTCAGATTTGAAACAAATAAAATTCTGAGATCTCTAAAACTTTATTAATGTATAAATTTATATACAAAATTGTAATAAAGTATTGCTATATTTTAAAAGTATTACTATAAATACTATCACTAAAGTATTACTACATTTTAAAGTATTATTTTAATTCTTCAGATTTGAAGTAAATAAAAATTCTGAGATCTCTAAGCGGAGACTTAGTACACTCTCCTTTCTTTCCCTTCAGAAAAATATTTCGCTTACCTTCCGGACTGCAGCATAGTTGATGTGCGTTCCCAATGATGGGAAATGCAGGCGGGTACGGCACTCTCCTCAGGGCGTACAAAAATTTCCCACGTCGCACCAACAATATTATAACGATCGTTGTCAAGCACATCGACAAGACGAACGTGACCCACGATCCTCCCATAACGATCGCCAGCAAAGACATTTCTGAACGATTCTGGACAATTGTTCCCTTCAGTATCTCCTTGCTTCTTGCATGTTTTCGCACGCCGCCGTCGTGAGAAATTTAACCAGCTTATCTCATCGAAAACTCGCAGCTCGCATCGATGATTCTTTTCCTTCTCTTCGAACTGTCTCGAGTCATTCACTTTAAATTTACAAAAATTTCGAATTTCGCGCGAGGAGAGTCCTCTCCTCGATTTCTCTTTGCTGTTCACTTGGTCAACTGATACTTCGAGTCATTTTCTCAGCCGCGAACGTCCGAGTGTGTTTAAAAAAAAAAAAAAAAATGCGAAAAAAAAGGGTGATGTATTTTCGAGAGAGAGAGAGAGAGAGAGAGAGGGGAGAGTCAAGTAGACAGAGATAAAGAGGAAGAGAGAGAGAGAGGGGGTCAAGCCACCCCCCTAAGATCCACTTGGACGAACTGAAAGCGGCTAGTCGATCGTTTTCGCCGGCAATCGCAGTGTGGCGAAAGAACGGAGAGGAAGAAGAGGAAGAAGTGGAGGAAGAGGTTGCCCCAGAGTCGCGTGCAACGCGTGTCCCTCTCGGTTATGCGTGCCCGTACGAAACAGTCGCCCTTATATACTACTGAATGCTCTGTGTACTACACCAACGGCCAGTGGCTAACTCCTCCACCAATAGAAACAAACACGTGAGACGTACAGTGTGTGTGTGTGTGTCTCTCTCTCTCTCTCTCTGTGTGTGTTTGTATGTGTGTGTGTGTGTGCTGAGGTGTCGGCCGACTCTACGTACAAAGGTAGCTCCTCTTCGTATTCGTCTCACTGAAAAAAAAAAGGATAAAATAAATATACATTTGCACGGACAGTGTACACACGTCTCTCTCGCACGGCGCATGAATTTTCTTTTTCGCCTAGAGTAGTACGTGCACGTCGTACGATTCGTCTCCTCCGATCGCGGGATCAATATATTTATGCGCAAGAATTTGGTTTTAGGGACGATACGGAACGATAAACGGGGAGTTTATCCTGGCGGTGATCGAGCTTGCGAATATTTCTTACCTTGTTCATCGTCGGCCGCGCTTATGCTACTGAAGCGTATAAATAATACATGCGGATAGTGACAATAGAGGAGATTTAACGCGTGTCGTTTCGAGTTTTACATTCAAGGATAATTCTTCGCACGACTCGTTTGGTGATTGTTCATCCCGCTGGGGTAACTACCCCGCCACGAGAAGACTATGACGAAGTCATCGAGTGATTCTCAGGGCAGTTTGGAGTTTTCAAAGAATCGATTTTTTTTGTTTGTTTTTGTTTTTGTTTTAAATGGTGGTTTGAAGTCTTGCGAAAGGTCCTAGCCTTTAAAACGACTTATCTCGGGATATGATAATAAAATCCGCGGATAACAGAATAATTGAATTTGTGTCACTGTTTGCAACTCTAAGCGGTATTATAAGGTGTAAATCGCGTGATTCAAATATTACTTTTGGCGAATCGAATATTAGGGGATTTGTATTCGATTTAGTTGTGAATTGTAAGAGCCGCGACATATATATATATATAAGTAAAAAAAGTAAGTGAAGGATACATACGAAAAATGACTGTTCTGAAACTTTAAACGCGTTTTTTTTCTCGAAACTTGGTTTTTAGAAAACGGTGTGCAAGATATCTCAGAATCTAACCGACCGATTACTGTGAAACTTTGGTACGTATCTTTAGTGTAACATTTGCTAGCGATTGACGATCGAGCGACGATTTTTTAATTTTTAACAATTTCGAACAATGTAAACAAAAAACTGTAGAAATTTTTGGCCTAAATTCGACACGTCAAAGACAAATAGCTGCTATTTTCATCATTCTCACAGAAATGAAAATGTTGGCTCGTCGATCCCTAGAGGATATTGTTTACTTTCGAACTTTTTTCGCCTTTTTGTTGCAACCAATCCTGTTTGGCTGGAATCATGCATACCGATAGGAAATGTAAAAAAAAAGTTATGTAAAAGGATGCCGTTAAAAAGTTAAATAGATAAAAATAAATAAATAAATGTAAAATAGATAAATATATTATATATAATATATAAATAGTATAATTTATATTATAATAAATATTTATATAATTTATATAATTTATTTAATATTATTTATATAATTTATTTAAGATTTATTTAATATTATTTATATAATTTATTTAATATTATTTATATAATTTATGTAAACTAGATAAATATAAAGCTAAATAAATAAATATAAAATAATAAGACCCCTCTTTTTTTTTCATTTTTGCTTTTTATAGTTCATAATATGTTAAAATAAGCCACAAAAGCACATGTCAATCAAGTATATACTTTTTTTCTTTACTAGCCTAAGTATTCGTAATTTTTAGGCCCGTCAAACTGTCCTGCCTTCCTAACTGTCACGCGAAACTTGCACGTTTTCTCTCTAAATAATATTTGAGACTTACAAACTACAACGAAATATTTCTCGTTTCGCAATATTATCTAGTTATTTACGTTGTCTAAGATCCCTTGTTCGATGATACTCGTTGCTTTTTAATTATTCTAAAATGGAAACAACGATGATCATTAGTGACCGTCGTAGCAGTCAACGTGTTAACCCTTTGATGTTAACCTAATGATGTTTGACGAGTATACTCGTTGCGAGGAGATTTTTTTGCAATTTTTTCTGTTCTTAAAGTCACTGGACATTCGATCATTTTTTAACGAAACGATTGTCGCGATTATCATGATTATCTTATTTAATTTATCTGTATTTATCATATAGTTTGCAACAGATGTTAAATTTAAACAAATGTTATCGAGTCGCGATTTGGAGTGTTCGATGAATTTACGTGAAGAAGAAGAAAAAATTAATACTTGGCCGGCTATAAAGAAATTTAGAAAAAGGACAGTTGAAATTAAAAGAACAATACCTAATACACTTGATACGCAAAACTTTTAAAGTACTGCTCTCTTCTCAATTTTTCAAGTATCGTCCCTTTTCAAAGTTTCTTTCAATTTAACTTTCAGTTTAAAACAAGAGTATTGTAGTCAGTCGCGCGATATTTTGGCGAAAACTCGACAGGAAAAAATTTTACACTCGTGGAGGAGACAGTGATCCAAAATGAGAGCTTTGAAAGAATTCGTAGAAATTATTTCCAGGATTTAAGGAAAATGAAATTAACATTCGCAATTGTGAATGATCAAATCGTTTTCGTCGCAGATAAATAAAAATCAATTTCGTTAAGCGTCCAGTGATTTGTAGACAGGCGTATAACCTCGTAGTATTTGCTATTATATATAATTTATAATTTAATTATAATATAAGTACATATGATTTATAATTTAATTATAATATAAATACATATAATTTATAATTTAATTATAATATAAATCTATATGATTTATAATTTAATTATAATATAAGTATATATAATTTATAATTTAATTATAATATAAATACATATGATTTATAATTTAATTATAATATAAATACATATAATTTATAATTTAATTATAATATAAATACATATGATTTATAATTTAATTATAATATAAATACATATAATTTATAATTTAATTATAATATAAATACATATGATTTATAATTTAATTATAATATAAATACATATAATTTATAATTTAATTATAATATAAATACATATGATTTATAATTTAATTATAATATAAATACATATAATTTATAATTTAATTCAAATTTACAGTAGATTAAATAAGACTATATTGATTTTAAGGAACAAGCGACAATATCATAGTATCATACCATAATATCATACCATAATATCATAGTATCATAATATCATACCATAATATCATACCATAGTATCATAATATCACACCATAATATCATAGTATCATACCATATCATAGTATCATAGTATCATACCATAATATCATAGTATCATAATATCACACCATAATATCATAGTATCATAGTATTATACCATAGTATCATAGTATCATAGTATCATACCATAGTATCATAGTATAATACCATAATATCACAGATAATTTAAATTTCTCAAAATTTATAAGATAGAACAATAAATTGCGACCCAATGCCGAGGAAATGTTAAACAATAATGTTAAGTAAGTATTACTTAATAAGCATCAACGTGATGAGTATTAAGTATCTAACATGTATTAAGAAACTTCAAGGATTAATAGAATTGATACAGTAGAAATTAATAGAATTATTAGCCTATTAGGGTTAACACACGTTTCCAAAACGAAATTCCACTAAGAGTTAAGAAAGTGGTTCCTTCCTTAGGAAGAAAAAAAAAAAAAAAAAAAAAAAAAGAACGTATGGAACGTATGGTTCAGGATCAAAAAATAGAAATGAGCTTTGTCATTTATGTGGTATCGGACTACGTAATCAACATTAAAACGCGATGTAAATTCGCCAAGACATATATATATATATACATATATATTTTTATCATCGACCACACAGCAAGAACGATCTATTAATTCTCTTGCTTATCGTTTATCCACCAACGATGAAGCATATTACGTGCGTGATTGCGATTTGGATTGCGCGTATCCGTCGTTCCCCTCGATTTTGATGATCACATCAATCGTCTCCCGTATATATATATATATATATATATATATATATATATATATATATATATATATATATATATATATATATATATAGTTCTAACGTTGCAAATATTGTAACGCGCTGTTATTTTCACAGGTGCTACTTCGTTTCGTAACTTTCGGGACAATTGTACGAATTTTGAGAGCAAGTTGTATACAATATTTCTAACCGCTTGCGCCGGCAACTGACTGCGGACCGTAACGAGTGACCAAACCGTATACGACAATTCGTCGCTTTCCTTTTGAACTCGTCAGTATAACATCACCGGACAGAAGTTATTATTGTGAAGTAATAAGTTTATTATTCGTTTTGCCCGTTATACTTAAATATACTTAAAATTGAAGAAAATATTGCAATTTTTGGGACAAAAAGATTGTCGACGTGCGAGAGAAGATCTTGAACTCTCCAATAGGTTCAATAACGTCGGAAACTTCGAACGAGTTGTTAGTAGAATTGTCATTATCACTGCGAATCATGATGCAAAATATAAAAACATGTGAAATGTTATATAAATTATGTAAATATAATAGGAACGAAGTACTCTATAATATTTGGAAATTAAAGCAAACTTTCTTTACCAATATTTTTAAATGTATCCAGAGAAATGTGAATTTGCATAAATATCTGATTATTAAAACTATGTCAGTCACGTCGAGTCTCCATGGAAAACGCAGCGGAATATTTACTTCGACGCACTCACAACACGTTTCCTATTCGAGGAGATATTTCGTTCTAACGTTGCATTTTCGATTCCTCTTTAGATCTCTGCCAAAATTCTCCTCTCGTACCACGCGATGATTTATTCAGTCGAAAATATCGAGTACCGATTTAAAGTTAAAACAATCACGAACACTGTGTTACGTATGAAAGTGGAATATAGCTCGTCTAGGCGATGGCGATCGAAAGGAAAAAAATAATTTTAACTAAAGAAATTAATTGCAATTAATTTGAAGCACACGAAAATGTGCGAGTCAAAAATTAACATCAACGAAGATTAATATATACCTCAGACGAGTTTCGAACTATCGTTGGGAACGCAATCAAGACCGATTGATACACTCCCGTTAGAAACTTCGATTTGAACAATCGGTAGGCTATCAGGATCGATAATATTCGATTATATAATTTGATAGTCGTTGTGTCTCGCATGAACGTGCACGTAGATAATTCTCGCACATTCTAACTTTCTATTGCCGATATCTGTTCGACACGTTCCTCCTAGTAATGAATATGCAGATTTATGAACGCGATTAAAGAAATTAAATCTCTGCAGAGATTTGTCTTATTCGCGAAGGATACTGATTGAATATTATTGATCGTATCATTACACACACACACGTATGTACGTTTCGTACTTCTTATTGTATTTGTGCATTTTCAAATTTTTCCATAAATACATAAACATCGAGATCATGTTTTGAACTCGGTGTGTTTTTTGTTTAAAGTGTTTTTTAATTAAATTATCTTCGCGTAAGTTTTAATTGTGCATAGATACGTATGTCAGATACGTATGATACCACGTGTGCATGGTTGAAGTTTTATTTTGTACGATTAGTAACATATTATGTAAATATTAATATATTATTTATTGTCTGTGATTATTAACATTGTAAATAATAATAAAGTAAATGAAGTAATTGTAAATAGTAATAGTAATAAAGTAAATAAAGTAATTGTAAATAATATCAACTAAATTGTAAATAGTAATAAAGTAAGTAAAATAATTGTAAATAATACAAACTAAATTGTAAATAGTAATAAAGTAAATAAAGTAATTGTAAATAATATAAACTAAATTGTAAATAGTAATAAAGTAAATAAAGTAATTGTAAATAATACAAACTAAATTGTAAATAGTAACAAAGTAAATAAAATAATTGTAAATAATACAAACTAAATTGTAAATAGTAATAAAGTAAATAAAGTAATTGTAAATAATACAAACTAAATTGTAAATAGTAATAAAGTAAATAAAGTAATTGTAAATAATACAAACTAAATTGTAAATAGTAGCAAAGTAAATTAAGTAATTGTAAATAATATCAACTAAATTGTAAATAGTAATAAAGTAAATAAAATAATTGTAAATAATACAAACTAAATTGTAAATAATAATAAAGTAAATAAAGTAACTGTAAATAATACAAACTAAATTGTAAATAGTAATAAAGTAAATAAAGTAATTGTAAATAATACAAACTAAATTGTAAATAATAATAAAGTAAATGAAGTAATTGTAAATAATACACACTAAATTGTAAATAATAATAAAGTAAATAAAGTAATTGTAAATAATACAAACTAAATTGTAAATAATAATAAAGTAATAAAGTAGTAATAAAGTAATACAAACTAAATTGTAAATAATAATAAAGTAATAAAGTAGTAATAAAGTAATACAAACTAAATTGTAAATAATAATAAAGTAATAAAGTGATAAAATAAATAAAGTTATTGTAAAAAATACAAACTAAATTGTAAATAATAATAAAGTAACGAAGTAATAAAAAATTGTAAAAAATACAAACTAAATTGTAAATAACAATAAAGAACAATGTAATTTCAAGTAATAAGGTTTAATCAAGCAATCGTCTGTTGTATATTAAAGAAGAAGCTAATGAAGTAATAACATTTTTCTTGCGATTCCTTTTTTGTTATTACAATATGGTATTTCCGATATTTGAAAGGCTGATGATGTAACCAATGTTGCTGACATTAATGAATATTTTTTAACAATAATCATGCTAGTTGTTTCGGAAATGACACGCGTAAATATCTTATATTCTTGTCTTGTGTAAAAAAATGCGTACATGTGATTGTGGAGTAATCACTCAAAATGAAATTTTTTTTTATGTCGATATGCATACATATATATAGCGTATATTTTGCATGCGTATCTGCACTCGTGAGTGAAAAAAACTACACGGATGAAAATACGGATACAATTATAATAGGATGCTGTTATCATATAGTATGTGTCTCGAAAATTAACGTTTCTTGTTACACATTAATAATCGCTAATCACACGGAATGAAACTTGATATGTTAATGTATGTTAATATGTTAACGTATCTGCGCCCGTATAATTGTATATTAAATCACGAATATATTAAATACACGTGTTAATGAGCAGTAATTAGAAATTGATTGAATTACTTTTGTCGCTTATATTATCAATTAAATATTCTAGCCTAACCCGTCATTAACTATTAACTATAAATTTCGTAATTTCCATGTTATGTCTTTTTTTAATTCAATCGCTGTTCTCTTCTTTTTTTTTTTTTTTTTTTTTTTTTTTGGATTATCGAAACATCGAGAAATAAAAAGCCAAGGACAATTAACGCCATCAACGTTTTCTCCATTTCTTCTTCGACTTGTACAGTTAGCGTTTCCAAGTATTTTTTTGCAATATCATTCGTTGGATTCGATGTCCGATATATTACTTTGGTTGGTACAACTATCTACGTGCTACTGGCTACCGGATATTCAAATCAGTAGAATCGTGTGCCTTTTTTTTTTCCTTACATCGATCATTAACAACGATCAAACTGAAATACGAAACTGTTTTATACATCAATTATACGATACGTTAATTTCTTTTTCTCTTTTTTTTTTCCTACGATTTATGAACATAGGCTGTCCTTTTTTTTTTTTTTCCAGCGTTCCTTTAATATTAATGATCACTTTGGAAGCAATTAAATATTAATGCCCTCCCCTCGGTTGCTAATGCCGATGCGAAATAACGCGTTAGATAACAATGCCGAAGATAAATAGACGATGGACTTCAGCAGATAAGAGGTAAACGATTGCAGTTCATAGAAACGCGTTCGTACGACGGCGTTGAAACTCCCATTACCATTTGAATGAATCGTGTCCTTCTGCTGGATGTCAATGCACATTGCAACGTCGTTCATTCCCTTTCCTTCCCCCTTTTTTTTTCCCCTCTTTCATTCCGATACGGTTAACGCGCGATTCGAAAGATCGATTAAGTCAACGAAGCCTGAAACCGATGCTGAAAAATGCTGGGATGTTCGAGTTTCATTTCTGACCGTTTCGTTGCAAATCTCGACCGAAGAAGAAGAAATGCAGAAGATGAAATTTATTCCGTTGAAAGGAATACTGCAGTACGCGCGACGATGAATAGAAAACCCGCGTCGGTTCGTCGAACTTGTCATACTCGTCGAAAGAACATACGCTAGGTGAACGATAAGACGTGCGATCTTCTAAACGCGATAACGCCCGTGCGTGTTGTGGCGTTTGTGAATAATTACTTATGAATTGTGAATAATAGACACTTATCGTATTCTTGTTTTCATCTTTCTAGACGCTCCTTCAACGTTATTGAAATTCGTCGAACCTTCGGTCGAACTTAATCCAAGCTGATTGATTCGTCGATTTATCTCTGCATTGTGCGAAATATAAATATATTTTTTTTTTTTTTGTTTATATTACTTGAAGTGTAAATAATTTTTTATATAAATTAATATTACATAAATATTATATATATAATTATATAAATATCCCGAGGCAGTCAGCCAGGTCAATTCCTAAGAAGCCTCGACCCTGCCGAGAATTGCCAGATGTCCTGTCATACTCTCATCTAAGGACACTTTCTCTGGCCATGGAGAGAGAGACAGGATGTGGAGAGGCAGGGCAGAAAGAAAGCCCAGCCTAGGAATAGGGATACTTGGCCATAAAATCGTAGACAATTCTAAAAAGTCACGTAGATTCACGCATCATAATTTTTTTATAATTTTCGTGTAATTTATCTAAATTTTATAAATATTTTTTTAAATAATACAAATAATATTTATATTATTTAAAATATAAAAAAAATTAATTAAAATATAAAATATTATTATTTAAAATATAAATACTTTTTTATTTACATTTTATATTATTCCTCGTCAAGGAGAAGCAATTTCGAACGTCAGAAATAGCGAGATTGTTTTGTTAACTCAATGTCACATTCGATTATCATTAATATAAATTTAAAATAGGTAAAGTTCTCATGGTGTTTACTCACAGAGAGATCTTTAGATCTATACAGTGGTATAATATCCCTGGCAAAAAATTTTCGTAAACTAACCTCTTGCGCTGCAATGACGTGCCACGCATGTCGACAATCTTTTTGTCCTAAAAATTCCAATAGTTCCTCAGTTTTAAGTATATTGAAGTATAACCCAAGCAAAACGAATAATAAATTTATTACTTTTCAATAATTTCTATCCAGTGATATCGTGCCGACGAGTTCAAAAGAGAAAGAAAGCGAATTATTGTACACGGTTTGGTCACTCGTTATGGTCCGCAATCAGTTGCCAGCATAAGTAGTTAACCTCTTGCGCTGGAATGACGTGCCACGTACGTCGACAATCTTTTTGTCCTAAAAATTCCAATATTTCCTCAGTTTTAAGTATATTGAAGTATAACCCAGGCAAAACGAATAATAAATTTATTACTTTTCAATGATTTCTATCCAGTGATATCGTGCCGACGAGTTCAAAAGAGAAAGAAAGCGACGAATTATTGTACACGGTCACTCTTTATGGTCCGCAATCAGTCGCCAGAGCAAGTGGTTAAATTGAAATCGTTAATTCAACTTTTCTATACACTTCAGACAAATACAATAGTATTTTACATTTCGAAGGCTGTAATGTTTTAGAATATTTTTGAATATAGTGTGAATATCAAAAAGTATGATTGAATACAAAATTTATATGTATAATATTGTGTGCGTCATATAAAACATTTTGAAATTTTGTTAAGATTATTAATGAAACACGTCGGAGAAATTATAGAAATCAATGTGAAACTGTGTAACAAAAATTACAAGATACTTATATGGTAAACATATATTTAGTTAAATATTTAATAAGCACACGCATAACAGATGAGTCCAATGAATAAAGATGATTCTAGTAAATATCGAGACTTATTGTTGATGTAGTGGGTAGTTGATTGTTTAAATAATTTTGCGATCTATATGGAATATGCGCAAATTCACGAAAGTGAACACGCATATATTATGTCGTTTATAACTTTTCTAATATTTTTAATCACGAATATATTATGTGTGTTGTAGAAAATA